GTACCTATATGGTTTGTACCGAGAGTAAGTGCATTACTTCCCCATATGGATGGTACCGAGAGTAAGTGCGTTACTTACCCATATGGTTGGTACCGAGAGTAAGTGCGTTACTTACCCATATGGTTGGTACTGAAAGTAAGTGCGCTACTTATCCATATGGTTGGTACCGAGAGTAAGTGCGTTACTTACCCAAATGGTTGGTACCGAGACTAAGTGCGTTACTCACCCATATGGTTGGAATAGAGAGTAAGTGAGTTACTTACCCATATGGTTGGTACCAAGAGTAAGTGTCTTACTTACTATATGGTTGGTACCAAGAGTAAGTGCGTTACCTAACCTTATGGTTGCTACCGAGGGTAAGTACGTTATTTACCCATATGGTTGGTACGGAGAGTAAGTGCGTTTCTTACCTATATGTTTGGTACCGAGAGTAATTTCGTTTCTTACCCATATGGTTGGTACCAACAGTAAGTGCGTTACTTACCCATATGGTTGGTACCGAGAGTAAGTGTGTTACTTAATCATATGGTTGGTACCGCGAGTAAGTGCGTTACTTACACATATGGTTGGTACCAAGAGTAAGTGCGTTACTTACCCATATGGTTGGTACCGAGAGTAAGCGCGTTACTTACCCATATGGTTGGTACCGAGAGTAAGTGCGTTACTTACCCAAATGGTTGGTACCGAGACTAAGTGCGTTACTCACCCATATGGTTGGAATGAAGAGTAAGTGAGTTACTTACCTATATGGTTGGTACCGAGAGTAAGTGCGTTACTTACCCATATGGTTGGTACCAAGAGTAAGTGTCTTACTTACTAGATGGTTGGTACCGAGAATAAGTGCGTTGCTTACCGATATCGTTGGTACCAAGAGTAAGTGCGTTACTTACCTAAATGGTTTGTACCGCGAGTAAGTGCATTATTTACCCATATGGTTGGTACCGAGAGTAAGTGCGTTACTTACCCATATGGTTGGTACTGAGAGTAAGTGTGTTACTTACCCATATGGTTGGTACCGAGAGTAAGTGCGTTACTTACCCATATGGTTGGTACTGAAAGTAAGTGCGCTACTTATCCATATGGTTGGTACCGAGAGTAAGTGCGTTACTTACCCATATGGTTGGTACCGAGAGTAAGTGCGTTACTTATCCGTATGGTTGATACCGAGAGTATCTGCGTTACTTACCCATATGGTTGGTACCGAGAGTAAGTGCGTTACTTACCCATATGGTTGGTACCGAAATTAAGTGCGTTACTTATCCGTATTGTTGATACCGAGAGTAAGTGCGTTACTTACCCATATGGTTGGTACCGAAAGTAAGTGCGTTATTCACCCATATGGTTGGTACGAGAGTAGGTGCTTTACTTACCCATATGGCTGGAATGAAGAGTAAGTACGTTACGTACCCATATGGTTGGTATCGAGAGTAAGTGCGTTACTTACCCATATGGTTGGTACCAAGAGTAAATGTCTTACTTACTATATGGTTGGTACCGAGAGTAAGTGCGTTATTTACCTATATGGTTGGTACCGAGAATAAGTGCGTTACTTACCCATATGGTTGGTACCAAGAGTAAGTGTCGTTATTGCTACCGAGGGTAAGTACGTTATTTACCCATATGGTTGGTACGGAGAGTAAGTGCGTTACTTACTTATATGGTTGGTACTGAGAGTAATTTCGTTTCTTACCCATATGGTTGGTACCAACAGTAAGTGCGTTACTTACCTATATGGTTGGTACCGAGAGTAGGTGCGTTACTTACCCATATGGTTGGAATGAAAAGTAAGTACGTTATTTACCCATATGGTTGGTACCGAGAATAAGTGCGTTACTTACCCATATGTTTGGTACCGAGAGTAATTTCGTTTCTTACCTATATGGTTGGTACCAACAGTAAGTGCGTTACTTACCCATATGGTTGGTACCGAGAGTAAGTGTGTTATTCAACCATATGGTTGGTACCGAGAGTAAGTGCGTTACTTACTCATATGGTTGGTACCGAGAGTAAGTGCGTTACTTACCCAAATGGTTGGTACCGAGACTAAGTGCGTTACTCACCCATATGGTTGGAATAGAGAGTAAGTGAGTTACTTATCCATATGGTTGGTACCGAGGGTAAGTACGTTTTTTACCCATATGGTTGGTACCGAGAGTAAGTGCGTTACTTACCGATATGGTTGGTACTGAGAGTAATTTCGTTTCATACCCATATGGTTGGTACCAACAGTATGTGCGTTACTTACCCACATGGTTGGTACCAAGATTAAGTGCGTTACTTACCCATATGGTTGGTACCGAGTGAAGCTCGTAGTCATGCTGAGCGGCGACGTGCAGCAAAACCCGAAGAGTGGTCATCTTCGGAATAGGGGAGAAGGTCTGGAAGAAGTCAACTCCCTGTCGCTGACTGAAGCCTCGTGCAACGTGACGCGCCTTGAAGACAGGCGCAGAACCCGGCGGCCGCTTCACTCTGAAAATCCACATGCCACTGACGATGTTCGCCCCAGGTGGGGGAACCTCGTCGACGTAAGTGCCTGTGGACTTCCAGGATGCCATCTATGCGTCCATGGCTGTCTGCCACTAAGAGGAGTAGGGACCCTCAATCGCCTCTGCGTAAGAGCGCGGGGTCGGGATGTCTGGTGCATCCGGGTCTCCCTCAGGTGCAATCAGCATGGACACGAGATGAGGTACAGCAGCTGCAAGACACTCAAAGTCCTCCTGCCTGTCTTCAAGGACGTCCGTGCCAAGAGCACACTCATACCCGACGGACGGAGGACAGACAGACCCAGACTCAGTAACAAAACTAGCGGTGTAGTCAAGGCGACAGGCGGCAGCAAAGTCAACAAGCTCAGCAACAAGAGCAGACGCAGCAGTGGACTCAAACGTAGGGTCAGTGACAACAGTGGCCAGAAGACGTGTGACAGTAGGACTAGCAGCACGAAGTGAGTCAGACTCAGGGTCCGGTCCGTCAGCAAGGGAGTTCGCAGGAGGAGACGGCAGAGGGACACGCAGTGGAACAGAGGAAGGACCAAGTGCCATCTGGTGCGTGCCGGGGACAGGAGGAGGACGCTGACGCGGAACACGACGACCAGTGCGACCAGCGCAAACAGGCAACGCAGGACGAGACGCAGGCTCACGACGCTATGTAAGACCTCCGGGCTGCTCTGCGTAAGGAGAAGGAGCAGGCAGTGGGGAGGCTGGCTGTAACTGTGGCTGGAACTGGTCAGGCGGTGGAGACAGTAAGGGAGGAATAAGGCCAGTAGAAGGCGGGAGACCAAGAACCTGCTGAAGCAGAGGAACGAAGTACAGTCGCGGCCGCACAGCGCCTCAAGAACCAGCACCGACAGCACCGGCACCCCCAGGGCCAGCACCTCTAGCTCCAGGGTCTGGAGCTCCAACGCCTGCAGCACTACCAGCTCCAGCAGCTCCATTACCTCCAGCAGCTCCAGCTCCAGCGGCTCCAGCTCCAACTCCTGCAGCACCTCCAGCTCCAGCACCTCCAGTACGAGCACATCCGGGACCAGCGGCTCCAGCACCTCCAGCAGCTCCAACTCCAGCATCACATCCAGCTCCAGCAGCTCCAGTACCTCCAGTACGAGTACCTCTGGGACCAGCGGCTCCAGCACCTCCAGCAGCTCCAGCTCCAGCAGCACCTCCTGCTCCAGCAGCTCCAGCAGCTCCAGTACCTCCAGTACGAGCACCTCCGGGACCAGTGGCTCCAGCACCTCTAGTGGCTCCAGATCCAGCAGCACCTCCAGCTCTAGCAGCTCCAGTACCTCCAGTACGAGCACCTCCGGGACCAGCGGCTCCAGCATCTCCAGTGGCTCCAGCTCCAGCGCCTGTAGCACCTCCAGCTCCAGGGCCTCCAGCGGCAGGCCCGTCAGCTCCAGCAGCACCACTCCGGAGGATCCAGCGCCGAGCAAACCACTCGCGCAGCTGCAGTGGAGAGAGGGGCTCCTGCCGTGACAAGACACCCATAGGACCTTCAGGCTCAGCACCCTCGGGCTGAGCACCCCCAGGCTCAGCACCCTCAGGCTCCGCACGCTCAGGCTCAGCACCCCCAGGCTCCGCACGCTCAGGCTCAGCACCCCCAGGCTCCGCACCCTCAGACTCAGCAACCCCAAGCTCAGCACCCCCAAGCTCAACACCCCCAGGCTCCGCACACTCAGACCCAGCACCCCCAGACGCAGCACCCCTAGCAGCACCAACGTCGACAGCTACCTCGACAGGCTCGACAGGGTCTACCTGGAACACATCTGAGGGAGCAGGACCCTGAGGGGGGAGCGGGTCTATCGAAGGAGGACCTGGTGCGAGGAAGAGCGGCGGGGGAGGGAGAGGGGCAGTGCGGTATGGGAAGAGACGGTAAAAGGGAACCGACTCGTCGAACGTGACGTCCTGAGAGGGCAGGACACGGCGCGAGGTGGGGTGGCAAAACTGCCAGCCAGGCGCGTCAGGGACAAAGCCAAGGAAGACGCAGGGAATAGCACGGGCGGAGAGCTTGTCCGCAGACGTATCGCGGACAAAGGCACGAGAACCCCAGACCCGAAACACTGACGCATCACCAACCTTCCCCGTCCAACGCAGGGTGGGCGAGGTCTCCGGCAAGAAGACACGGGGCTAGAGGTTTAGCTGATGCGCAGCGTATCGGACCGCAAACGGCCACTGAAAATGGGGGGCAGCCGCATGGACCATGGAGGTACGAGCGACCTCCATGACCAGACCAATGCGGCGCTCAGCACCCCCATTCTGCTGCGGTGAGGCCGGGAGCGTGAACGTCTGGCGAATGCCCTTCCCACGACAAAAGTCCCGCAGAAAGTCAGAGGCAAACTCACCACCTCTGTCAGAGTGCAGACGCAGAATGGGAAAATCCGTCCCGAACCGCTCGCGGAGCTAGAGACGGGCAGCGCGGATCCAAGGGATCAAAACATCAGGGACCTCACCCTTGGTGCGCAAGGGGAAGACCGTGGTGTAACGCGTGTAGTCGTCAACGAACAGCAAAAATTACTGCTCGCGGTCCTGTCCACAAACGCGGGCTGGGCCCCACACGTCCATGTGGAGGGTGTGCAGGGGAGCAGTCGTCGGGGGAAACGAGGAGGAGTGAGGAGCGGCGCGCTGCCGCCCCTCGACACAGGGAAGACAGGGAGGAGCAGGCGAGGGTGGGAGGGGAGGGAGAACCCTGGGAAGGCCAGAAACAAGGACACGTCGGTGCATGCCACGAAGGCGCTGCACCGAGGGGTGACCAAGACGGTGGTGCCAAAGGACGGTCTGGTGCGACAAAGCGCGAGACGAGCAGGGGGCCGCTAGCTGACCTGACGCAAACGCAGACGCAGACGCAGCTACCTGAGGGGACACAGTGGTCAGTGTGTACAGACTCGAGCTAGGCGCTCGGGTGAACGTGGCCAGGTGCCGACCAGTCCGGGAGCACGTACAGTGGGTCACACGCTGACCTCCAGGAGTGAACTGGTAAACCTACACATCCTGGAGGTCAGCTCCACTCACCAAGTTTGTAGAGAACGAGGGGAGGTGAAGACCCAACAGTGAGCCAGATGGGACCGCCGGCCACGGCAGGACCGTGGTGGAGTGCGCAAGGATTGGGCCCCCAGAGGGGTCCGCCAGGGAGACTGCAACTGGCCCACTGAGCGGCGTGAGTGTGGTGCTGTCACAAAAGAAGGAGCGGGAAGCACCTGAGTCAAGTGTGAAGGTGTGCAAGGCCTCAGCAGGCGCAGTACCAGAGAGAGCAGACTCACCAGCACCTGGAGCAGCAGACGCACTAGCACCTAGAGCAGCAGCCTCACCAGTACCTAGAGCAGTAGACTCTATACCTGGGTCAGGCGGCACACACAGGTAACAGTCACCCTCAGCACTAATAGTCACAGCATACATGGCAGCAAGGATAGCATCATAGTCAAGAGCAAAGATATCAACATTCTGCCTAAGCATATCAGCCCAGCTAGGGAGCTCAGCTGCGTCAGGAATCTGTGCGCGCCAGACGTCAGACAGGCGACCGAAACAGCGCTCCGGCGTGTGTGGCAGGCCGCGCGTCTCCCCACGGCGCCCGCTGGTGCGGAGAACGTAAGTGCAGGGACCAGCACCCCCAGACCTCCCACGCCCAGCGTACCACTCACGAAGCTGGTGGGGAGACGGGGTCTCGCGGGAAAGCGGCTGCTGCTGGCGCTGGCTACCGCTGAGGCCTCCACGCTGCGCGGCTCCACCCCGACCAGCACCACCGCCGCCGCCACCTCCAACCCTGCTGCCACTGCCTCCACCACCGCTGCCGCTGCCTCCACCACCGCTGCCACTGCCTCCACCACCTCCACCGCCACCACTGACGCCCCCACTCCCGCCACCACCCTTGCCCCACCCCACCCCCTCCGCCTCCTCCACCGCCACCACCGCCGCCCCCGCCGTCCCCTCCACCACCCTTGCCCCCCTTGCCCTTGCCATAGCGGCGCCTCCCACTAGGAGCAGACGCAGCCCCGACCTGCTCGGTGCCAACGAGGTCGACAGCAGCAGCAGAAGCAACAGAGGGCATAAGGGGAACGGGGGAACACCCCTCAAAGAAAGGGGCGCGAGGGTCGCCGCGAGAAGCACCTACAGCAACTATACTCTTCTCAGCTGCAGTGAGGCGCTCCTCTAGCAAGTCGACGGTGAGCTCGGTGGGGCAAAGGGAGAGAAAGTGGTCCCTGACTGAGCAAAGGGAGTCAGGGAGACGGGTGACTAGGTAGAAGAGGGTGATGTACATGGGGGGGGGGGTTCTTGGCGCAGAACTCGGAGGGAAGTGCAGCGCGGTAGCGGGCGTCACTAGTGCGGAGGTGAGTAATGAGGTCAGCGACTGTGGCAAAGGCGGCCAGGTCAGGGAACAGGTACGCTAGCATGAGGCGGCTGAGGGTAGCAGTGGCAGGGGAGGAGTAGCGCGCTACGACAGCGTCATACAGAGACTTAGCACTCTTGTAATGGCCAAAGTGCGCGCGCTCAGCAGAAGGCAGGTGATTACGAACAGCAAGGCGAGCAACATCGTCACGAGTAGTCGGCAGCAGGTGCAGCAGAGGCGCCGGACGTGAGATCAAAAAGCGAGACTCCATCCTGAGAATCGCACTGAAGAAAGAGCTGCAGATAATCTACCCAGACATTGAAGTCAACTGCACGACCCTCAGCATCGAAGGTAAGAACCGTAGGGCTAGCCATGGCGGCAGTAGCAGTAGTAGTAGCAGAAGCAGCAGTGGCAGCAGGAGCAGCGCGGGCAGGGCAGCGCGACTCAGTAGGGCAGTGTGGCGCGGTTCGGCAGGGCAGTGCGGCTCGGCTGGGCGGCGCGGCTCGGTTGGGCTGTGCGGCTCGGCCGGGCGGCGCGGCTCGGCTGGGCTGCGCGGCTCGGCCGGGCGGCGCGGCTCAGCTGGGCGGCGCGGCTCTGCAGGCAGGCAGGCGTGGCAACGCGCTTGTAGAGCAGGTGCGCGGGTAGCGCGGGTAGGGCAGGTGCTCACCAGGGGCGGGTAGCGCGCGACTGGCGGCTGCAGGGTAGGGCCGCGACGAGGCGGCTGCAGGTCAGGGCCACGACGGGGCGGCGGTACAGCAGGGCCGCGACGAGTGGCTGAGGGCAGGGCCGCCACAGGTGGCGGCAGGGCAGGGCCGCGACGGGCGGCGAGGTCAAGGCCGCGACGTGGGGCGGCAGGGCAGGGCTGCGACGGGCGGCTGGGTCAGGCCGCGACTTGGGGCGGCAGGGCAGGGCCGCGACGAGCGGCGGGTCAGGCCGCGACGTGGGGCAGCAGGGCAGGGCCGAGACAGCGGCTGCAGGCGCTCGACAGCAGGGCTGCAACAGCAGGGCCACGACGGTAGGGTCGCGACGGTAAGGCCGCGACGGCAGGGCAGGCGCTCGACGGCGCACAGCAGGGCAAGCGCAAGGGCGCAGGTGAGGCAGGCGCGAGGCGTGCGACGGGGCAGGCAGGCGCGGCAGCGCGCTTCGGGCAGGGCATGAAAAAAAAATCGTGGTGGGCCCTTAAAAAAATTGTTCCCACTAGGGAACCTGCTCAGAAACCATGTGAAAACAGAACGAGGAATGGTTGCATTGAGCAGCATGAGGAGTACAAGTAGGAAACCCTAAAGTGTTGCACCCCATATGAACTACCCCACTACAGCCTACACAGACTAGAGCATATAAATTTGACACAAACAGGCCCCGAGGCTGTGGCAGCAGTACCTACACGCCCGACTCATCCGCATTGAATTCCGCCAGCTACCGCACGACCAGGGCATGTACCGGCTCACAAAAGGCACGGACTACACTCTCCTCTTCGTCTATGTGGACGATCTGCTCTACATCGCTTCAACCAACGGCATCACGACCTGGTTCGAAGGGGAGTTGCAACAGGACCTCACGCTCACGGTTTCATCTACCGTAACGCAATACCTCGGACTCAACATTCAAGAAGAGGAAAACACGATCTATCTCAGCGCGGCGAAATACGCGGACACCATCGCTAAGCGCTTCGGACTCACCCCAACCGCTATCTCCACGCCATATCGCTACACCGCCGGAAATCACAAGGAAGTCTCCGCTCTACTCAAGCCCGCCATTCTCCCCATCGTCTATGTGGACGATCTGCTCTACATCTGTTCAACCGACGGCATCACGACCTGGTTCGAAGGGGAGCTGCAACAGGACCTCACGCTCACGGTTTCATCTACCGTAATGCAATACCTCGAACTCAACATTCAAGAAGAGGAAAACGCGATCTATCTCAGCGCGGCGAAATACGCGGACACCATCGCTAAGCGCTTCGGACTCACCCCAACCGCTATCTCCACGCCATATCGCTACACCGCCGGAAATCACAAGGAAGTCTCCGCTCTACTCAAGCCCGCCGGCATACGCGACTACCAACGAAAACTAGGATGTCTGCTCTTCGCAGCCGTCACTTGCCGACCGGACCTCTCGTACTCCGCAAGCCAACTCGCCACCTACCTCAAGAAACCCGAAGCAGAGCACATGGCGGAGCTCGACCGCGCACTCCACTACCTCGTCAGCACTCCAACGATCGGTCTAACCTACCACAAGACTGGAACCACGACGCCCAGACTAATCGGCTACATCGATGCTGACTACGCTGGCAACTCTGACAACAGGCACTCACGCACCGGCTACATCTACAGACTCGAGCCTATCGGGCATATCTCGTGGCAGTCGAGCAAGCAAGAGCTGATTGCTCTCTCCTCAGCCGAAGCAGAATATATCGCACTCTGCTCAGCCACCAAGGAAGGATTATACCTTCGCGAACTACTGGAAGAGGTGAAGCTAGCCCAGTTACCCAGCTTCTCCCTGTTCTACGACAACCAGTCAGCAATTTGCATCGCCAACAAGAATGGATTCGCGAACAGAACGAAGCACATTGCCCTGCGATATTTCTTCGTGAAAGATGAGATCGAGAAGGGGAGACTCGAGCTGTCCTACTGCCCCACGTCCGAGATGGCAGCTGATTACCTGACCAAGAAACTCGGAAAGCAGAAGTTCGAGTATTGCATGCTGCAACCTAGACAAGGCCACGTCACCAGCATCGACACTCCAGAAGCGAAGGGGAGTGTTGGAAACAAGTGACTTAAGCGCTTCTGATGTGTCAAAACACTGAACTGCAAGTGAAGTGAACTACAACGAAACAACGGCGAGTCAACCATCGGAGGATGACAGAAAATGTAACTGCTGGAGGTTACGCGAAGGTCAAAGGTCGCTGACCTTTGACTTGACAAATGCAGCGCGACAGCAAGGACAAACAACTGACTTGATACTGAGCAGTTGCCCGAGTCGTCACTGTATCGAACCGCAACAGCAACAGTAAAACAGTCTCAAAGTTAGCGAACAACGGAATGCTTGACTAGGAAGGAGTTGGGGTACAACTAGGAAACCCTAACATGTTTGTACTCACTAATGAGCACCTCACTACAGCCTATCACAAACATCAACATTTGACACACCCCCATAGGCTAAGTGAGGGGCATCAAAACAAGCAAGGCAGACAAACGGTCACAAGACCAGTCAAGACAAGAAGCAAAGCAAGCTCAGGGTGGATCTCAAGGACACCACACAAATTCCGAGCACAAGCAAGCGGCCACAAGGCCAGTTCAAGAGGTCACTAGGATATATATAGGAAAACACAACAAGCAGAGCAAGCAACAAGTCTACAGCAACCGAGGGCCTACCTCAACAAGCCCCAACTGCACACTGAACCTGTGGTGGTCACCAAGCGCCAAGGCCTTGGTGAAGACGTCTGCAGTGTTGGCCTCTGAGGCCACAAAGTCCAGGCGTGCCTGTCCGCGTCGCTGCAGCTCTCGCAGGAGGAAGTACCTCACGTCAATATGCTTCACTCTGCTCTCCAGTCGAGGCTCTCGACAGAGGAGGATCATGGCCTTGTTGTCAGCGTACAAGGTCGGTGCAGAGCGAGGCCGCTCACCAAGGTCGGCGAGCAAGAAGGTCAACCAGCAAAGCTCCTGTGCCGCCATAGCACCGGCGTAGATCTCTGCCTCTGCACTGGAAGTAGCCACAGACGACGACCGTGTAGACCTCCACGACATAGCACCAGCTCCCAGACTGAAGCAGTAACCCTGAGTCGAGCGCTGAGTCTCCACGTCGTCAGCATAGGAAGAGTCGCAGTGACCAGTCAACGCCACTGGCTGAGTCCCTCCAAGCACAAGCCCCATGCCTGATGTAGTCGCCAGGTACTTCGCCACCCTCACAGCAGCTGTCCAGTGGACATGACGGTGTCTCCCAGTCGCAACAAAGCGAGAAAGGATGCTGAGGGGAAAAGCGAGGTCCGGCCGAGTACAAGTCATCAGGTACATGAGGCAGCCCACCAGCTCTGCGTAGGGACCACTGGACTCAAAAGGCTCGTCCGGAAGGGACAAGTGAGTCTGTGGTCAACAGCAAGAGGTGTGAGCTGTGTGGTGGAGAACTGGAAGTCGAACCGCCGAAGTACCTGCTGCACCATGTGTGACTCAGTCAGTGTGATGGTGCGAGCGGCTCTGTCCCTGGTGATCTGCAGGCCAAGGTAGCGCTGCAGTTCACCTAGGTCAGTGCATTTGTGTCTCTTCTGCACTTCGGACTTCACCTGAGCCAGAGCTGCCCTGTCTGCTGTGGCAAAGACCAAGTCGTCGACGTACACTAGTATAAAGAAAGGAGTAGAACCAGTGCGAACAAACAGCGACGGGTCGGCAGAGGAAGGACGAAACCCAAGGTCACGAAGCGTGGAGCGAAGAGTGTCGTGCCACTCACGGGGCGACTGGCGGAGACCGTAGACTAGCCGTCTCAGGCTCCACTGGGTCCCAGGTGGGAAGGTGTCAGTGAAGCCAGGAGGGCGGCGCAGCCAGATCTCCTCGTGTAGTCGGCCCTGGAGAAACGCAGTAGAGAAGTCGCCACCCCCAGAGCCAGATCTCCTCCAGATCTCCTCCAGCTCCAGCACCCCCAGAGCTAGCGCCACCCGCGCCAGCACCTCCAGCTCCAGCACCCCCAGGACTAGCACCTCCAGTGACAGTACCTCCAGCTCCAGCACCCCCAGGGCTAGCGCCACCTGCGCCAGCACCTCCAACTCCAGCACCCCTCGAACAAGCACCCCCGGACCGAGTACCGCCAGTGGCTGCACCTCCAGCTCCAACACCAACCAAGTCCACAGTAGCCTGTCGCGGAAGTACCGAAGGCTGCTGAGGGGACTGTGAGGAGGACTGCGGGGAGGGAGACGCTACCTGACGCGCGACCGAGGGTAGAAGGATAGCGTGAGACACACCTGACGGGGCAGGACCAAGGGGGGGTGGGGGTACCGGAGGAGCGGGAGCAGGGGGAAGAGAGGGTGCGAGGAAAAGGGGGGGAGGGGGAACTGGGAGACCTCGACAGGGGTACCGGGTGTAGTAGGACACTGACTCGTCGAACCGGACGTCACGGGAGTCTAGGAACTGGTGGAGGGGCGGGTGGTAAAAGGACCAGTCGGCCAAGGCTACCGGGAAACCAAGGAAGACACAGGGGACGGCGCGAGCCGAGAGCTTGTCCGCAGAGGTGTCGTGGACAAGCGCAAGGCAGCCCCAGACACGAAAAGCTGAACCAACACCAGTGGACCCGGTCCAAAGACTGGTCGATGAAGCCTCTGGCCGCGAGACACGCGGCTGGAGGTTCAGCTGGTGAGCGGCGTAGCGAACCGCGTTGGGCCACAGAAAATGGGGCGCACGGGCATGAATCATGGACGTGCGGGCGATGTCCATGACCAAGCCAATGCGGCGCTCAGCAACCCCATTCTGCTGTGGGGACTCCGGCAGCGTCCAGGACTGTACGATGCCCTGTTCGCCGCAGAATCCGGCAAGAATGCCTGAGCGAAACCCACCCCCACGGTCAGAGTGGAGACAGGAGACACGACGGCCACGAGTGCCCTCAGTGGCTAGAAGCCACCGGATCAGCGTAGAAGTCACCTCGGACTTCTTCGCGAGAGGAAACAATGTGGTGTACCTGGAGAAGTCATCGACGACCACCAGAAAGTAGCGCTCCCTCTCAGGTCCCTGCGTAGGTGCAGGGCCCCAGACATCCAAGTGGAGTGTTTGGAAGGGAGCAGTGGCTGGACGAAGGGAGGAGGAGTGCGGACTGGCACGAAGACGGCCGGCGACGCAAGGAGTGCACGGCGGCGCAGGCGAGGGAGGGAGCGACGGGAAGACGCGAGGGAGATCTGAGACAAGACGGTGACTAGCCATAGTGCGGAGGCGGGGGATTGACGCGTGGCCAAGACGGTGGTGCCACAAGACGGTCCGGTGGGTGAAAGACCGACACGAGCAAGACGCAGCAACTAGACCAGACACAGCAACCTGACTGAACACAGCAACCGGTGGGGATGCAGTAACCTGACCGGACTCTGCTACCGGGGGGGACGAAGCAACCTGACCAGACGCAGCTACCTCCGGGGGCGGAGTGTGCAGGACGAAGAGACCTGAGTGGGGCTCTCTGGTGAACGTGGCAAGAACTGCCCCGGTGGAAAATTCGGTACAGATCGCAGTCCTCCCGTGCGCATGAAAAGTGACTTGTGATCCCCCGGTCCTGAAGGTATCCAACACCCACCAAGTTCCGAGAGAACGAGGGGATGTAGAGACCAGTGAGGAAACCAGAGGGGACAGCTGGGCACGGGAGGGTGGTCGAGCTGCGAGCAACTGCTGGTCCTGAAGTAGGATCAGCCACGGCAACTGGGACTGGAGCCGAAACAGGTGTGACAGTGGTGTGGTCGCGGAAGAAGCACTGAGACGCGCCGGAGTCCAGCGTGAAGGAGAGCGACGCAACAACAGTCGTCACGGCTGGGCTAGTGACTACACAAGCACCTACACTAAAAGCACAAGTACCAACACTAGCAACAGGCAAAGGTCCTAAGCTAGGCACACGTAAGCCAAGAGATCCGTACGTGACAGAATAAACAGCATCCATAGACATATCAAACACAGGGTAACCACTACGAAACAGACCGGGCCAGATCGGGGGAGCCGACTCAGGCCCAAAACGCTCACGGTAAAGGTCGTCGAGGCGGCTGTAGCAGCGCTGTGCAGAGTGGTCAGAACGCCAGCAGGTAGTGCCAGCACCAGGGCCGGTCAGGATCCGGTACTGGTAGGGGCCGACGTCGCGGCCACCGCGACGAGCCCCCAAGCTGGCTGGGCCGCTGCTGCAGCCAACGCGACCTGAACCACCAGGCCCCCACGGCTGCTGAGGGCGCCACAGCTGCTGAGGGCGCACCTGCTGCTGCGGAAGCCACTGCTGAAACGGCCGCTGGTGCTGTCCCTGCTGCTGGAGAACCCTAGTGGACTCCATGATAAAAGCTAGCGGGGTGCAGGAGCGGCAGGCTAGGAGCGACAGGAGCTAGGGACGGCTGCAGTGAAAAACGAGAACAACTAGGAGGCAGGTGAAACTAGGCGAGTAACTGCTGGAGCAGGGAGCGAACTAAGCTAGGAGCGCCAGGTGAAACTAGGCGAGGAACGGCTGGAGCACGGAGCAAACTGAATTACGAGCGAGGAGCGAGAACGGCTGGAGCGAGAACGGCTGGAGCTAGAACGGCTGGAGCACAACTGGCTGGAGCTAGAAACGGCGAGCTAGGGCTGGCTGGAGGTAGGAACGGCCGGAGCTAGAGACCGTAAGTGCGGCTGTCGGTTGCCGCTAGTAGAGCCACTGGCAGTGGAAAGTACGTGCGACAGTAGGGGCTGCAGTACTGACGGCTGCGGGATGTAGGCAACTGTGCAGGTCGTCCGGCAAGCAGGAACGCGGGCGACAGTTGCAGGCCCCCACCCTAAACCACCCTTTTAGGGTTTAATTAATTTATTTATTTTCTGGCACTAAAGCGCTCCGGGGCGCGCTACCCGCGGGGCGCGACGCCTGCGGGGCGCGCTACCCGCGCGGCGCGCTGCCTGCTGGGCGGGGGCGACGGGCCAGGGCGCGGGCTGGGGCGACGGGCCAGGGCGGGCGCCTGGGCGACGGGCTAGGACGGGCGCCTGGGCGACGGGCTAGGGCGCGGGCCTGGGCGACGGGCTAGGGCGGGCGCCTGGGCGACGAGCTAGGGCGGGCGCCTGGGCGACGGGCTGGGGCGGGCGCCTGGGCGACGGGCTGGGGCGGGCGCCTGGGCGACGGGCAGGGGCGGGCGCCTGGGCGACGGGCTAGGGCGGGCGCCTGGGCGACGGGCCGGGGCGGGCGCCTGGGCGACGGGCTGGGGCGGGCGCCTGGGCGACGGGCTAGGGCGGGCGCCTGGGCGCGGGCTAGGGCGGGCGCCTGGGCGCGGGCTAGGGCGGGCGCCTGGGCGACGGGCAGGGGCGCACGCTAGGCGCGCGGAGGGCGCTAACGCGCGGAGGAGGAGGGCGCTAAGGCACGGAGACGGCGCGGAGGGCGCGGAGGCTAAGGCGCGGAGGGCGCGGAGGGGGCTAGGGCGCAAGGGCGTGGAGGGTGGTAGGGTGCGAGCTAGGCTATGCTAGGCGCGAGCTAGAGCTAGGCTAGGCTAGGGCAAACAGTGATTAGTTGCACCCTTTCATATTCCTTGTAATCCTATAAAAATGCTTGTATTACTTCTCTATAATTAATCTATCTTGCCCTCACATACTAGCGCAAGGTGGTTCAACACTTGTCATTAAAACGCTTCCGCAACTACAAATACTTCTACTCAGAGTTAGCCTTGTAAAGATCCTAATGGCTTTTCTCAGCCCAACAACGGTACCTCAATAAATGCTATTGCCACCCTCACATCAGCCTACACAATCACAATCTAGTAGAGTCGCATTCCTTTCCGTGTCCCCCTGCTGCCTGAATAGCCAGCATTAGCACAGAAATGGGGTGTACCCGTAGCGGCGTGTGCCAGGCTGGGAGGAAGACCCAGCAACACTTGGGAGAAGCCTGGAGGAAGTGGAAGAGGCAGGGGGCATCGAGCATTGAAGGGAGGAAGTAGGGATCAAGGGTGTGAAGCTGGAGGGCATTGCCCTGCACTGTGGAGCACACGGGCAGGCAAACAGAGGCACGGGTGGTGAGGCTGCTCTGGTGTTGCGGAAGGGATGGCGGTACCTGGGGAGGGGACAGAGAGGGCAGAGAGGGTGGTTCATGAGCAAAGAGCGATTGGAGCTTCAGAAGTGAGGCGCGCGCATGGGAGGATGGTGAAAGCTGCGTGCACAGAGGTGCATGCAGAGGTGCACAGAGGTGCATGCAGAGGTGCATGCAGAGGTGCACAGAGGTGCATGCAGAGGTGCATATGAGTGCAGAATGGATTGTGGTGTTAAGTGAGCGAGTCGGCCCTGGGTCTTCCACAGCATTCAGAACGAAGGACAAGCATGCGAACACCAATCTAATGCATAACAATGCAGTCCTCAGGACAACAGAGCATCGCTGATGCTGCAACCCTCCACCCATGCAGTGCAATCCTCAGAAACTATTGAGACGAATTGAATTCCCTGCAAAAGCCAGTAAAGGAGCGGGTGGCACAGGGTGGGCATGGGATGGCACAGGATTCCTTCTTGCCCCGTCAGAGGGGGACGACACATTTGTGACTGAGATCGCTCATGCCATCCATGCTGCGCATGAGCACACCTACTCGCCCCACCTCTCCCCTCCCCTGCTCGCCTCGCCGCTCCTCGCCCTCCTCCTGAGTGGCTTGCCTCAGCCACACTCGCATTCAACCAAGTCAACAACAGTCAACGCCACTTCATGCCATCCATTTCACGCCCTGTGCAAACCAGCCCCTCACCTTGCTCCACCACTGCTGCCGCTGCTGCCTCACTCACCACCAGCTGGCCCAACAGCCATGTGAGTGACGGGGGGTCGAGGAATTACCTGGGCAACACAATGGCATCCTCAAGGCCGCCTTGCTTCTCGCCATGCGCTGACATTGCAGCAGCACCCGCAAGTGCCGCCTGGGCTGCCAGCACAGCACGACTGTCACCAACTCCTATTTCGCCCATTCCCACTCCGCTGTCCATCCCCCCTTCCACCCATCTCCCCTCGTGCCCATTCCCCCTTGCGCCCATTCCCCCTTGCGCCCATTCCCCCTTGCGCCCATTCCCCCTTGCGCCCATCCCCGCGTCCCATCCCATTTGCCTGGGAAGCTTCGCCAGGTGGTCAATCGAGGGGGGTTGAAACAGGACGCTTCCACGACCCGCCGCCATCGCACGTTTGCACCCGCCCTCCGCTTCCTGTGGTTCGCCGCGCTCGCGCAAACCCGCGCTGCTGGCGACGTTAAGCGGAGGAGGACGGGGGAAGCGGAGAGCACAACGGGCGGAAAGCAGCCGCGCGCCGCGGATAGCGCGGGGAAGGTGACGCGAAGGGCTGCTTTCCATCCGATTCACGGTTCCGTTGGTATGCGCGATGCGATTCGCACATGGCATGCGACGCACTTGGAAAGGGGACGAGGATCTCCGCGCGAGCGCTTTTGCGATCCTTCATCAAGCGATCCTATTGTGCGGGGTGCGAGGCAGGATCAACGTGCCGAATCGCCCCGCGAAAGCGACGCGTCTACCATCGCTAACACCCCACCCCATCGCGTTACCGGAACGCCCCTCACACTCCTTTCCTCATAAGCGTCGCTCTCCTTCCCCCATCTTCCCCCGTAACCGCGCTTCAGGTCTGATCTTCCGAGTCGGCGCGTCACGTCTGCTGCTCTATTCGCGCGAAGAGCGAATCGCACATCGCCCTCTTCCCCCCATCAGTCCCGTTTCCGCTCCGCTGCTCCTCCGCGCGAAGCCCTGCCGAGCCGTCGAAGCGCTGAGCCGCGAAGATCGGGTGACGTGCGATCGCTCGCTGCTGGTTGAATTGAGTTGAGGGACTACGGGCTGTTCGTGGCGCTAAAAGTGGCTCGATGTTGGTTATAATGCAGGTGTGGTGGTTTGAATTATCGGTACGCATAACAAGAGTTGTTTGACTAAAAATTGAAACCTACTTACACTACAAAAACTAATTCTGAGAATCAGACGTTCTACGGTTCATACCGGTACCTTTCAACAACCACCAAAGAAAAATGTTGAGTGGAAAGTAAAAGTTAACTCCAGACAAATGAAAAAAAATCTCTGGCCATAGTTGTACGGTACTTTACGTACCAGATGCCTTGTTGCACGATACTACTCCCAGCATGTGGTTGCAGAGGGAGTTCATCCAGTTTCTTGGGCTTCAGCCAAGCATATACGGTACACTCCATAATAGGAAACATGCGCTCAAGATTGCACATAACCAGGTCAAGCATAAGTTCTTTTGTTGCATGACCTCGAGTCAGGAAAAGTGGATGCGGACAAGAGATGTAGACAGGCGGCTGTAACTCGAATGACGGACAAGCATGCTCATGATGCACATTGAGCATGCGGTGCTGGGTGAGGAGGATGTGTGGCATGGAGAGTTGTGACAAAGGATTTAGTGAAACACGCAGCTGCATTTAGCGGAAGCCTGACACAAGAAAGTTAGGAATGAGAGTATTCAGACGTAATAGTGGCATTAAAAGAGTGACAATGAAAATATGGCAGTAGGATAGGAAGTGGGAAAAAAAAGAGGAAAGATAGCATGAGGTACGAGCAGTGGAAGAATGAAGATGCAACGATGAGAATGAACTGATAGCCGTGGGAGGATGGCTTTGGGAACATCACCCTGCAATGCTGATCATGGGGTCATGATGGATTAATGACGTTTGAATGATCAGGATGGGATGATGTCAGTGCGAGATGACAAATACAACATGGCATTGGACAGACAACAGATGGGATGGGGGCTTGTGTGGAGAAATGTCAATGAAAAATGACATCAGTGGGAAGACAGGAGGAAAACAAACAAGTGCAAGGTGACAGAGGGAAGAAATGACATAACAAGTGCCATAAGAAGTGAGAGCATGGTGTAGTCACAATGAGGACAGCCTGAGTGGGTGGGGCATGCAGAGGGGATGCAGGCGTGGATAGGCAATGCCCCAGTTTTACGTCGACGTGGATGCGAGGGTGTGAAACTGGGGCCTCTTATGCGCCACATGTGCATTGCAGGAGTCAGCAGGAAATAATGGCAGAGGATCAAATTGGCATGGAGGGTGGCAATGGGCAATGCACTGGTAACGCAGATATGTGAAGTTGACAGCAATTGGCGATGGGCAATTGAGTGGCAGCATGAGAGTGGAAATTTGGCTGCGAAACGGCGATGCGAAATCGACGGCAAGTGGCAATGGGGAAAGGTAACTGGGAAAGTAGCAGTAACAAACTGGCAATGACAAGCTGACAATGACAAGCTGACAATGACAAGCTGACAATGACAAGCTGACAATGACAAGCTGACAATGACAAGCTGACAATGTCAAGCTGGCAATGACAAGCTGACAATGACGAGCTGACAATGACAAGCTGACAATGACAAGCTGGCAATGACAAGCTGGTAATGACAAGCTGGCAATGACAAGCTGGCAATGACAAGCTGACAATGACAAGCTGACAATGACAAGCTGACAATGACAAGCTGGTAATGACAAGCTGGCGATGACAAGCTGGCAATGACAAGCTGGCAATGACAAGCTGGCAATGACAAGCTGACAATAACAAGCTGGTGTAAAGAAATGAGGAATGAATGAACTAGCAAGCAGGTGGGTACAAGTAGGAAAACCTAGAAGTGTTGTACCCCATATTGTCTACCCCACTACAGCCTACACAGACTATAGCATATGAGTTTGACACACCCCCATAGGCAAAGTGGGGGAGAACAAGAGGTCACAAGACCAGTCAAGCAAAGCAAAGCAAGCTCAGGGTGGATCACAACGTCACCACACAATCCGAGCACAAGAGCAAGGCCAAAAGGCCAGTTCACATGCAAGATCATATATAAAGGTAAACAAGCAAGTGCAGGTATAGAAAGATCACAGTACAAGCAAGGTCAAGAAGTGAGCAAGTGAGGCCAAGTAGGCACAAGACCTAGCATCGTACAGAAACGCTGATGATCACCAGGCGGAAGTGCCTTGGTAAAGATATCAGCAGTGTTGGCCTCAGAGGCCACGTAAGCAAGGCGCAGCTGACCACGCTGCTGCAGCTCACGAGCAAGGAAGTAGCGAAGAGCAATGTGCTTCGTTCTGTGCTCCAGTCTGTGCTCCCGACACAAGGCCAGCATGGCCTTGTTGTCTACGTACAGAACTGGAGGAGAACGAGGCGCCTCTCCTAGGTCAGTCAGCAGGTAGGTGAGCCAGCGTAACTCCTGTGCAGCCATGGCCCCCGCGTAGATCTCGGCCTCACAGCTGGAGCCGAGAACAGAAGACGAGCGGGTAGACCGCCACGAAACAGAGCCGGAACCAAGGCTGAAGGTGTAACCCTGTGACGACCGCTGCGTAGCCTGGTCGTCAGCCCAAGAAGCGTCTGCGTGACCTGTGAGGACCACTCGACGTCGCCCTCCAAGCACTAGCCCCATGCCCGACGTACTGCACAAGTAGCGCAACACCCTCTTCGCTGCAGCCATGTGCTCTGGTCGGTGTCTCCCAGGAGCAACATAGCGTGCCAAGATGCTAAGAGGGTATGCAAGGTCAGGTCGTGTGCAGGTCATCAGGTACATGAGGCAGCCAACAAGCTCTGGGTACGGGCCACTCGGCTCTACGGACTCATCCGAAGGCAGAGCTGAGAGCGAGTGGCGAGTAGACAGAGGAGTGGCCTGAGGCGAGGAGTACGTGAAGTCGAAGCGCTGAAGGACCTGCTGCACCATGTGTGACTGAGTCAGGGTAATGGTGCGCTGTGCTCTGTCCCGGGTGATCTGCAAGCCAAGGTAGCTGCGCAGTTCACCCAGGTCTGTGCACGTGTGTCTCTTCTGCAGCTCGGACTTCACGTGGGCGAGTCCAGCAGTGTCAGCAGTAGCAAAGACCAAGTCGTCGACGTACACGAGGATGTACAACGGCGGCAAAGAGGTGTCGGTGCGTAGAAACAGCGACGGATCAGCAGTAGAAGGAGCAAACCCAAGAGCCGCAAGTGTAGTCCTCAGTGTGTCGTGCCACTCACGGGGCGCCTGGCGGAGACCGTAGACTGGCCGCCGGAGGCTCCACTGGGTACCAGGAGGAAACGACCCAGTGAAGCCAGGAGGGCGGCGCAACCAGATCTCCTCGTGCAGGCTGCCCTGTAGGAAAGCAGTGCTGAAGTCAAGAGAGTGAAGCTCGTAGTCGCCCTGAGCGGCTATGTGCAGCAGCACCCGAAGAGTGGTCATCTTCGGGGTGGGAGAGAAGGTCTGAAAGTAGTCAACTCCCTGCCGCTGACTGAAGCCTCGAGCCACGTAACGCGCCTTGAAAACAGGCGGAGAACCCGGCAGCCGCTTCACCCTGAAAATCCACATGCCACTGACGATGTTCGCCCCAGGTGGGGGAACCTCGTCGACGTAGGTGCCTGTGGACTTCCAGGAAGCCATCTCTGCGTCCATGGCTGACTGCCACTGAGAGGAGTAGGGACACTCGATCGCCTCAGCGTACGATCGAGGAGTCGGGATGTCTGGTGCATCCGGGTCTCCCTCAGGGGCAATCTGCGTGGACACGAGATGAGGCAAAGCAGCAGCAAAACACTGGAACTCCTCCTGCCTGTCCTCAACGACGTCCGTGCTAAGAGCACACTCACCCCCGACGGACGGAGAACAGACAGACGCAGACTCAGCAACGAGACTAGCAGCGTAGTCTAGACGACAGCGAGCAGCAAAGTCGACAAGCTCAGCAACTAAGGCAGACGCGTCTGGTGTGTGCCTGGGACCGCAGGAGGACGCGGACGCGGAGAACGACGACTAGTGCGAGTAGCACGAACAGGCGACGCAGGACGAGACGCAGGCTCACGACGCTCAGCAAGACCTCCAGTAGGACCAGTGTAGGGAGAAGGAGCAGGCAGGGGGGAGGCGGGCTGTAACTGGAACTGCGACTGGACAGGCTGTGGACACTCTAAGGGAGGAGCAGGACCAGTAGAGGGCGGGAGACGAAGAACCTGCTCAAGTAGCGGAACGAAGTACGGCCGCGGCCGCGCAGTGCCTCCAGAACCAGCAGAGACAGCACCAGTACCCCCAGCGGCAGCACCAGTGTCAGCAGCACCGCCGGCGCCAACAGCGCCAACTCCAGCACCCTCAGACGCACCAGCGCCAGCAGAATCACCAGCGCCGACACCCCCAGCAGCTCCAGCTCCAGAAACTCCAATAGCTCCAACAGCACCAACTCCAGTAGGAACGGCAGCTCCAGTACCGCCAGCAGCTCCAGCAGTACCTCCAGCAGCACCCCCAGCCCCAGCAGCTCCAGTACCGCCAGTACGAGCACCTCCGGGACCAGCAGCAACAGTAGTACCTCCAGCTCTAGCAGCACGGCTCCAGCGCCGGGCAAACCACTCGCGCAGCTCCTGCGGAGAGAGCGACTCCCGCCTCGACGAAGCACCGCGAGAGGTCACACGAGCAGACCCAGCACCCCCAGGCTCCGCACCCCCAGGCTCAGAACCCCCAGGCTCAGCACCCCCAGACTCAGCACCCCCAGGCTCAGCACCCCCAGACTCAGCACCCCCAGGCTCCGCACCCCTGGACTCAGCACCCCCAGGCTCCGCACCCACAGACCCGGCACCCGCAGGCACAGCACCTCGAGTAGCACCAGAGTCAACAGCTACCTCGACAGGCTCGACTGCGTCTACCTGGGACACACCAGACGGGGCAGGACCCTGAGGGGGGAGGGGGTCTACCGGGGGAGGACCTGGCGCAAGGAAGAGCGGCGGCGGGGGGAGGGGCGCAGTGCGGTAGGGGAAGAGACGGTAGTAAGGCACCGACTCGTCAAAGGTGACGTCCTGGGAGGACAGAACACGGCGCGAGGTGGGGTGGTAAAACTGCCAACCAGGCGCGTCAGGGGGGAAGCCAAGGAAGACGCTGGGAACAGCACGGGGGGACAGCTTGTCCGCAGACAAGTCGTGGACAAACGCCCGAGATCCCCAGACCCGAAACGCAGACGCATCGCCAACCTTCCCCGTCCACCGCAAGGTGGGGGAGGTCTCAGGCAAGGAGACCCGGGGCTGAAGGTTGAGCTGATGCGCTGCGTACTGAACCGCAAACGGCCACAGAAAATGGGGGGCAGCCGCATGGATCATGGACGTACGAGCGACGTCCATGACCATGCCAATGCGGCGCTCAGCAATCCCATTTTGCTGTGGAGAGGCCGGAAGCGTGAAGGTCTGACGGATGCCCTGTGCACGACAGAAGGCTCCCAGACGGGCAGAGGAAAACTCCCCGCCTCTGTCAGAGTGCAGACGCAGAACAGGAAAGTCCGAGCCGAAACTCTCTCTGAGCTGGAGACGAGCTGCGCGGATCCAGTCGATCAACACCTCAGTGACGTCACCCTTGCTGCGCAAGGGGAAGACTGTGGTGTAACGCGAGTAGTCGTCAACCACCAACAGGAAGTAACGCTCGTGCCCCTGTCCACGGATGCGGGCGGGGCCCCACACGTCCATGTGAAGAGTCTGCAGCGGAGCCTCTGTCGGAGGAAACTCGGAGGAGTGAGGGGCGGCTCGCTTTCGCCCCTCGACGCAGGGGACGCAGGTAGGGGCAGGCCCCGGAGGTAGGGGAGGGAGAGACCGGGGAAGACCAGAGACAAGGACACGGGAGGCCATGCCTCGGAGACGAGGCAGGGAGGGGTGACCAAGGCGGTGGTGCCAAAGGAGAGTCTGGTGGGACAGGAGATGACACGAGCAGGGAGCAGACTCAGGACCAGACCTGGACGCTGCAGCAAACACCTGACTCGACGCAACTACCTGACCAGACTCAGCAGTCAGAGGAGACTCAGTAGTAAGTGTGTACAGGCTCGACCCCGGCCGACGGGTGAACGTGGCCAAGTGTCGGCCTGTCCGAGCACACGTGCAGTGGGTCACCCGCTGACTCGCAGGAGTGAACTGGTCAACCCCCCTATCCTGTAGATCAGCTCCACTCACCAAGTTCGTAGAGAACGAGGGGAGGTAGAGACCTGACAGGGTGCCAGAGGGGGCTGCCGGGCACGGTAAGACAGTGGAGAAGCTAGCAAGGACAGGACCCCCAGAGGGGTCCGCCAGGGAGACCGCAACCGGCCGACTAAGCGGCGTAAGCGTGGTGCGGTATCGAAAGAAGGAGCGGGAAGCACCCGAGTCAAGGGTGAAGGTGTGTAAGGCCTGAGCCGACGTGGTACCTGAGAGAGCAGACTCACCAGCACCTGGGGCAGCAGACGCACTAGCACCTAGAGCAGCAGCCTCACCAGCACCTAGAGCAGCAGACTGGATACCGGGGTCAGGCGGCACACACAGGTGACAGACTCCCTCGGCACTAGTAGACAATGCATACATTGCAGTGAGAATAGCATCATAGTCAAGAGCAAAGATATCTACCCTCTGCCTAAGCAGCTCCACCCAGTCGGGGAGCTCAGCGTCGTCGCCAAACTCTGTACGCCAAGTGTCGCTCAGACGGGCGAAGCAGCGGGACTCTGTGTGACTACGCGTCCCGCAAGTCTGACCAGTCCGGACACCCGTGCTAATAACGTACGGGCAGCGAGCAGTACTCAGCGACCCTCCACTCTGAGCGTACCACTCACGAAGCTGCTGGGGTGAAAGAGTCTCGCGCGGACAACGCTGCTGCTGCACCGGGCCACTACAAGAAACTCCCGAACTACCCACTCCAGGACGACTCCCACTACTGCCACCCCGACAACCCCAACTGGTGTACCACTCACGAAGCTGTTGGGGGGTGAGGGACTCACGCGGGCGACGCCGGAGCTGCATCCTGCCACTACAAGCAGCTGCGGAACTATTCACTCCAGGACGACTCCCACTACGGCCACCCCGACAACCCCAACTAGCGTACCACTCACGAAGCTGTTGGGGGGTGAGGGACTCACGCGGGCGACGCTGGAGCTGCATCTGGCCACGCCAGGAGCAGCAGTAGCAGTAGAAAGAGCAGCAGTAGTAAGAGCAGCAGTAACAGCAGTACGGGCAGGGCAGTGCTCACCAGTGGCGAGAAGGGCAGGCGTACGACGGCGGCAACGGCGATGCCGCTACCACTGTAGAGCGAGAGCTCCGCGGCAGCTGCAGGGGTGGCTGCTCCAGGGGCGGCTGGTGCAGTGGCGGCTGCTCCAGGGGCGGCTGCTGCAGTGGCGGCTGCTCCAGGGGCGGCTGCTGCAGCGGTGGCTGCTCCAGGGGCGGCTGCTGCAGTGGCGGCTGCTCCAGGGGCGGCTGCTGCACTGGCGGCTGCTCCAGGGGCGGCTGCTGCACTGGCGGCTGCTCCAGGGGCGGCTGCTGCAGCGGCGGCTGCTCCAGGGGCGGCTGCTGCAGCGGCGGCTGCTCCAGGGGCGGCTGCTGCAGCGGCGGCTGCTCCAGGGGCGGCTGCTGCAGCGGCGGCTGCTCCAGGGGCGGCTGCTGCAGCGGCGGCTGCTCCAGGGGCGGCTGCTGCAGCGGCGGCTGCTCCAGGGGCGGCTGCTGCAGCGGCGGCTGCTCCAGGGGCGGCTGCTGCAGCGGCGGCTGCTCCAGGGGCGGCCGCTGCAGCGGCGGCTGCTCCAGGGGCGGCCGCTGCAGCGGCGGCTGCTCCAGGGGCGGCCGCTGCAGTGGCGGCTGCTCCAGGGGCGGCCGCTGCAGTGGCGGCTGCTCCAGGGGCGGCCGCTTGCAGTGGCGGCTGCTCCAGAGGCGGCCTGCTGCAGTGGCGGCTGCTCCAGAGGCGGCTGCTGCAGTGGCGGCTGCTCCAGGGGCGGCTGCTGCAGTGGCGGCTGGTTCCAGGGGCGGCTGCTGCAGTGGCGGCTGCTCCAGGGGCGGCTGCTGCAGTGGCGGCTGCTCCAGGGGCGGCTGCTGGAGTGGTGGCTGCTCCAGGGGCGGCTCGGCTGCTGGGCGACTCGGCGGCTCAGGTGTTGGGTGGCTCGGCGGCTCGGCTGCCCGCTAGGGGCAGCGACGGGGCCGGGTAGGGGCGGCGACGGGGCCGCTAGGGGCGGCGACGGGGCCGCGTAGGGAGGGGAGCGGCGACGGGGCCGCTAGGGGCGGCGACGGGGCCGCGTAGGGGCGGCTACGAGGCCGCGTAGGGGCGGCGACGGGGCCGCGTAGGGAGGGGAGCGGTGACGGGGCCGCTAGGGGCGGCGACGGGGCCGCGTAGGGGCGGCGACGGGGCCGCGTAGGGGCGTCAACGGGGCCGCGTAGGGAGGTCAGCGGCGACGGGGCCGCTAGGGGCGGCGACGGGGCCGCTAGGGGCGGCGACGGGGCCGCGTAGGGGCGGCGACTGGGGCCGCGTAGGGGGCGGCGACGGGGCCGCGTAGGGAGGGGAGCGGCTACGGGGCCGCTAGGGGCGGCGACGGGGCCGCGTAGGGGCGGCGACGGGGCCGCGTAGGGGCGGCAACGGGGCCGCGTAGGGAGGTCAGCGGCGACGGGGCCGCTAGGGGCGGCGACGGGGCCGCTAGGGGCGGCGACGGGGCCGCGTAGGGGCGGCTACGGGGCCGCGTAGGGAGGGGAGCGGCTACGGGGCCGCTAGGGGCGGCAACGGGGCCGCGTAGGGGCGGCGACGGGGCCGCTAGGGGCCGCGACGGGGCCGCGTAGGGGCGGCAACGGGGCCGCGTAGGGAGGGAGGCGGCAACGGGGCCGCTAGGGGCGGCGACAGGGCCGCTAGGGGCGGCGACGGGGCCGCGTAGGGGCCGCGAGGGGCCTGGAAGGGCGGCTACGGGGCCGCTAGGGGCGGCGACGGGGCCGCTGAGGGTGGCGCGAGGGGCCGTGAGAGGGGCCTCTAAGAGAGGTCGACAGAAGGGCAGCCCACAAGGCGCGCCTCGGGCAGGAGCGACTGTCGCTCCGGTCAGAAAAAAAAAAAGTTTCAGTGGTGGGCCCAAGGAAGCGTTCCCACTAGGGAACCTGCTCTATACCATGTGAAGAAATGAGGAATGAATGAACTAGCAAGCAGGTGGGTACAAGTAGGAAAACCTAGAAGTGTTGTACCCCATATTGTCTACCCCACTACAGCCTACACAGACTATAGCATATGAGTTTGACAGCTGGCAATGACAAGCCGAGCTGATTCGGCATGAGAAATGGGTTGGAAGAGTGCCATGGCAGTAGGAACTTGGAAAGACAAATGGCAATAAGAAATTGACTATACATGTGAAAATGAGGGGTGAAATGGCTAAATGTAAACAGCCAGCAAACGACAATATGACTCAACAATAGTAATGGGGGGACGACTGCAAAACTATGAATGACAAAGGCATAGGGAAATGTGAATTTAAAACAGTTACGGGACGTTGGCTAAGCGGACAAAAAAATGGCAATATGTGATTTACTAGTAAAAAATACAATAACATGAGAAGCCCTGACAAATCATATTGGAAAATGACTGGAAATTTTACAATAAGCGGGTAACGACAAGAGCATGGAAAGTGGGCTGGAACCATGGAAATGAGAAGTTGATCAGAAAAATGATAATGGGGAACAACATTGATTGGACGCATGCGAATGGGATCGACAAAATGGGATAGTATAATGAGAATAGGAGGTGGGAAAGCAATGGGGAGATGACAATGGGAAAATGACTGTGGTGTATGGGGGAGTGAAATGGGATGAGCAGACTAGAAGATAAGAACCAAAGCACCCATCATTTAACTACCGTATCACCCTAGTGTCAAAATGTTATGTGTGCATTAGGTCAAAGGGGGGTACAAGTACAAGATGAGAGAAGTGTTGTACCACCTAAGGCTAAACCAACTACAGCCTAGTGTGATAGAAACATATAATGCTTGACACACCCCCATAGGCGAAGTGGGGGATAGCTAGAGCAATGGTCACAAGACCAGTCAAGAGAAGAAGCAAAGATAACACAAAGCGCAGGGTGGATCTCAAGATCACCACTCATTCCGAGCACAAGCAAGCGGCCACAAGGCCAGTTCACATGTAGGGTTTATAATAGCAAGAGCAGTACACTGATCACAACCTAGCAAGTGTAAGCATGCAGGTATACTCATATATATCAGTGTACAACAGAGGCAAGATCAAGAGACAAGTAAGTGAGGCAGAGTGGGCACAAGCTCAAGAGCTGTGCAGAAATGCTGATGATCACTAGACCCAAGGGCCTTGGTGAAGACATCAGCAGTGTTGGCCTGTGTGGCCACGTAAGCAAGACGAAGCTGACCACGTTGCTGCAGCTCTCGCGTGAGGAAGTAACAAGGAGCAATGTGCTTCGTTCTGTGCTCCAGTCTCTGGTCCTGACACAAGGCAATCATGGCCTTGTTGTCGACGTACAGAATTGGAGGAGAACAAGGCCACTCATCCAAGTCGGTCAGCAGGTAGGTCAACCAGCGGAGCTCCTGTGCAGCCATAGCCCCAGCGTAGATCTCGGCTTCACAGCTGGAACTAAGTACAGAAGACGAGCGAGTGGACCTCCACGAGACAGAACCAGCACTCCTGTGTCGACCGGTGAGTCGTCTGGTCGTCAGCCCAAGAAGCGTCAGAGTGACCGGTGGGAACAACTTAACCTTGTCCTCCAAGTACAAGCCCCATGCCCGATGTACTGCACAAGTAACGCAATACCCTCTTCGCAACATCCTAGTGCACCTTTCGGTGTCTACCGGGAGCCACGTAACGAGCCAGGAGGCTGAGAGGGTACGTGAGGTCAGGTCGTGTGCACGTCATCAGGTAAATGAGGCAACCCAAAAGCTCTGGGTACGGACCACTCGGCTCTACGGACTCGTCCGAAGGTGGAGTTGAGACCGTGTGGCCTATAGCAAGAGGAGTGGACTATGGCGAGGACCAAGAGAAGTCGAGTGGCTGAAGGACCTGCTGCACCATGTGTGACTAAGTGAGGGTGATGGTGCACCGTGCTCTGTCCGTGGTGATCTGCAAGCCAAGATAGCTCCGCAGCTCACCCAGGTCAGTGCATGTGTGTCTCTCCTACAGCTCCGCCTTCACTAGGGCAAGTGCCTCAGTGTCAGCAGTAGCAAAAACCAAGTCGTCTACGTGCACGAGAACGTAGAACGGCAGCAGAGAAGTGTCTATGCGCAGAAACAGCGAAGGTTCAGCAGTCGAGGGAGCGAAACCAAGAGCCGCAAGTGTAGTCCTCAGTGTGTCGTGCCACTCACGGGGCGCCTGACGCAGACCGTAGACTGGTCGCCGAAGACTTCACTGGGTACCCTCAGGAAACGACACAGTGAAGCCACGTGGGCGGCGCAGCCAGATAGCCTCGTGAAGGCTGCCATGTAAGAAAGCTGTCGAGAAGTCGAGGGAGTGCAGATCGTAGTCACGCTGTGCTGCAAAGTGCAGTAGCACCCAAAGAGTGGTCATCTTCGGGGTGGGGGAGAAGGTCTGGAAGAAGTCAACCCCCTTACGTTGACTGAAACCTCGTGCAACGTACCGCGCCTTGAAGGCAGGCGGAGAACCCTGTGGCCGCTTCACCCTGAAAATCCACATGCCATCGACTATGTTCGCCCCAGGTGGGGGAACTGCGTCGACGTAGGTGCCTGTGGACTTCCAGGTTGCCATCTCTGCGTCCATGGTTCTCTGCCACTGAGAGGAGTACGGACCCATGATCGCGTCTGCGTAAGAACGTGGGGTCGGGATGTCCAGTGCATTTGGGTCTCCCTCAGGGCAAAGTAGCGTGGACGCGAGATCAGGTGCAGCGGCCGCTAGGAACTCCAACTCAAATTGCCTGTTCTCAAGGACGTCACAGCCAAGGGCAAGCTCACCCCCGACGGACGGAGGACAGGAAGAGTAAAAAACAGGACTCGCAGCGTAGTCAAGGCGGCACAAAGCAGCAAAGTCAACAAGCTCAGCAACTAAGGCAGACGTAGCAGTAGACTCAAAGGAAGGGTCAGACACAACTGTGGCAAGGAGACGAGTGACAGTCGAACTGGCAATACGGACAAGGTCAGACTCAGGGTCAGGAACGTGAGGAAGAGAAGACGCAGGAGGCGACGGCAGGACAACACGCTGTGGAACAGAGGAAGGACGGAGTGCCATACGGTGAGTGTATGGCACAGCTGGAGTGTCAGACTTATATGACTTAGCCTATGAAGGCTATAGTGGGGTAGCACATATGGGGTACAACACAGTTCTAGGGTTTGTACTTGTACCCAACTTTTCCCTTAGTCATTTCATTCCTCAATTTCTTTCACATGGTATAGAGCAGGTTCCCTAGTGGGAACTTCCTAGGGCCCACCACTGAAAATCTTTTTTTCCTGCCCTGAGATCGAGTCGCCCCTGACCGAGGCGCGCCCTGTGTGCCGTCCTCCCCTTCGCGACCTGTCGAGCCGCCCTTGGCGGCCCACCCTCTCTCACGGCCCCTCGCGATCCCGTCGCCCCCCCCCTTAGCGGCCCGTCGCGCCGCCCTGAACGGCCCGTCGCGCCGCCCTCAGCGGCCCCCCCCTGCGGCCTCACCTACGCGGCCCCGTCGCCGCCCTCTCGCGGCCCCGTCGCCGCCGTTAGCGGCCCCGCCGCCGCCCTCGCGGCCTCGTCGCCGCCCCCTACGCGGCCCCGTCGCCGCCCTCTCGCGGCCCCGTCGCCGCCGTTAGCGGCCCCGCCGCCGCCCTCAGCGGCCTCGTCGCCGCCCCTACGCGGCCCCGTCGCCGCCCTCTCGCGGCCCCGTCGCTTTGCCGTTAGCGGCCCCGCCGCCGCCCTCGCGCTGCCTTCGTCCGCCAGCCCTCTTCGCGGCTTGCGTCGCCGCCCTTAGCGGCCCCGTTGCCGCCCCTTAAGGCCCCTTCAGCCGCCCCCCTTAAGGCCCCGTCGCCGCCCCATTGCGGCCCTTCGCCGCCCCTGGCGGGCCCTTAGCGGCCACCTCGCCGCCCCTAGCGGCCCTCGCTGCCGCCCTCTTAGCGGCCCTCATCGCCCGACTCTACGGCCCCTCCTCCACCGCTTGAGCCGCCCCAGCAGCGGACCCCGCCGAGACTGAGACGCCCAAGCGACCGAGCCGCGTCGAGCAGCCGAGCCGCCCAGCAACCGA